CTTCCATGCCTTCTACTTACTTTTCGTGGACTTCTATGGACTTTCTTGGACTTCCAGATGACTTCCTCTGATTTAAACATGACTCCAATGACTTCCAAATGACTTCCACTGACTAACCTGACTTCCACATGACTTCAACTGACTTCGAGATGACTTCACCTGACTTCAGGATTACTTCCAGTGACTTCCACAAACTTTCAGCAGAACAATATAAATAACTGCTTCGTTTAATTCTGCTTTATTTGATCAGTTTGATAATTCAAGGCTTAAACTATCATAGACCCTAAAGTCTAAAATATATTAAGTTATGTGGAAGGGTATATTACAAAATCCACGTCTACGTAGATGAGGATGTGAAATTAACAGAACCGCTAGGTTTCTGATTATCACAACTAAGGGTTTATACTCAGAGGGTGAATCTAAAAAGAGGCCACTTACACTTTTTTAGCTAAAATAAAGGTTGTATTTATCCTTACTAATTTTTTATTAAAGTAGATACAGCAGAAATTTATTTTAAACAAAATTGACAAAATGTGATCATTCAATTAATAATAAATTATATAAGGCGACACTAAAAGTAACGTCTATTGTCAATCGAAACTCTGGCATGCTAAAGTGGGAGGTTATAACCATACCGAAGCCGACAATTTTTTCATTTAGTCAGAGTATGTGTCTGTGCTTCATTTGAATGGTAATTTTATGGAGAATTCAACAATATGACTATTAATTGCGTTGACTTTTTAGCGCCCTCTAAATGGATAAAAAACTGTTACGTTCTGTAAAGTGTGACACTTCATTTGAACGATATTTTTATTAGCGATTTATGTATAGCGTAAATTTATTATTTTAGTTCATAGAGATTATAATTTGTATGTCCGAACGTTAGAAATCTACACTATTTTTCAATTATTAGAGTTCATGTAGGTAACATTAAAAAAATTATGTTTTGTTATATTGTGAATTAAATTCCTAATCAAAATAGCTTTCAAATAAAGTGCCACACTTTACAATACGTAAGTTTTTTTTTTATCCCGCTAGAGAGCGCTTAAATAAAAATTACCCCAATGAATGGTCATGTTGCTGAATTTTATAAATTCTGGGGGTTTAAACCAGGAAGGCTAAAAATATTCATTAAAAGTGTCTCATTTGAAAATAATATTACCATGTCTTTTCGTTTTTTCATACTATTTACTGAAAGGAATATACAGGGTGTCTATTAAAGGTCTTTACAAAAACATACTACCTCTTGAACCCAAATAAGCCGATTTAAGTAAATTTAACTCAGTACAAAGTTGCTCAGTTTGGTCACTATACATATTTCTTATTTGTATTCATGTTTTAGTAAATAAATTTTTCTCTAAAACCTACACTCTAAATTAAATTTTAAATGTGCAAGTAATAAAAAAATTCAAGTTCTACGCCAATGGATTAATATTAGTGAATAATTTTGATACATTTTTTTTTTGTCAAATAAAACTGTCAACATAATAAAGTTAAGTAGAATCGAATGAGCCGTTTTAAAATTATAAAGGAGAAACGAACTTTGTACTGAGGTAAGTTTACTTAAATCGGCTTATTTTGGTTTAAGAAATAAGAGCCATTCGCACCACTAGTAATTAAAAAATAAGCGAAGGTTAAAATGACATTGTTAATGGAAAAATGTCATTTTAAGCTTGGCTTATTTCTTAATGACCTGTAGTCTAAAGGGACCTATGTGGTAATAGTATGTTTTTGTAAATACCTTTTGCATATCGATTTTGTTTCACTTTAAAGTTGTTCTGTTCTGTACCTTTAGACTTTGGAAATTGATATATTTGTTATTTTTTTTTAATGTAAACAATTCTTTTCGTATTAAAGGAAAATAAATTGAGTAAAAGGTACCTACAAAATTTTTTGTTAGGTATAGTTATACAATAACTATTAGGAGTAATTATTTATAGTTGAATAAATACATATCCTCTTCTTTGATAAAGATATATTATTAAAATAAGGTTGATTTTATTTAAATTATTGTGCTCCCTTCTATATTTGTTTTTTCCTTAGTGTATGTATATATAATATACTTAAATATATACTTAAATTTTCTGCGTACGCTCATGGAACCACATAATTTTAGTCACCTGATGACCGAGGCGCATGCGCACTTTCAGGAAATCTTAATAGACTTCACATGACTTCTATATACTTCTTCATGAATTCCATGGACTTCACTCTGACTTCCATGGACTTCTTCCTGACTTACATGAACTTCATCAAGACTTCCATTGACTTCATCATGACTTCTATGGACTTCATCCTGACTTTCAAGACTTCTCACTTCACTTCACTTCACTTCACTTCAAAGAACTTCCATAGACTTCCATTTATTTCCAAGGGACTTTCTTGAGTCTTTACACCAGACTTCCTCAGCAGCGGTTTGCCCCTCGGTCTACGCCAATCCCAATTAAGTTTTCCATTGCGAGACTGTCTTTAAGAAGTTGACTCCTCATTGTTTCAGCTGTCAAAGCATCTCCTGCGGTAATTTCAATCTGTAAAAGGTCGTTATTTTTCTTTTGAGTTTGCTATAATATTTAATCACAAGACACATCATTTTGGTACAGTCGATGGCTGTGTTTTCATCAATTATCAGAGAATATTTTTCATTTCCAACATCAAGGATTAGATCTTCCAACCAGCATGGACTAATAACATTTAAGATTAAGGCTGTACATTTCGTTCGATGAAGTTTTACTCCCTTGAGTAATTCGGAATTATCATCTAGACTATTAAGTAATTCACTTAAATGATCTGCCGTTGTTGTGGAACAATGCTCCGCAATAAAAGCACCTACTTTCAATTCTGCGACTTTTCTTTTCTTTGAAATATTAGTCGTCAAAAACTCAGTAATTTTTTGCTGGGACCCAGTGTTATATTTTTTCTCAGACTCAAGATGTTTTCTTGATTTTCTGTGCATCAAAAGATCTTTCTTATGTGCAATTAATGAACACGCTAAATGTGAATCAGGGAATCCCGGTCCCGAGAGGGGGTTCTCATATCAACGTCTTTCAAGACAAATTATGCGGTCGGTAGGGTAGGCTTCGCTATACCGCTAGTGTATTAAATTATTTTTACTCGGCAAAAATAGATGGCCCTACTTGTACAATGCAATAATAAATAAGCCATATATTTTTTGTTATTTATAATATCATATTATTTTAAAAAACCCCTGTTATCCCCAACGCAATATTTTTTCCAGAAGAATCCCCTAGAAAACAAAAACCCCAAAAAATCCCCAAGAAGATGAAAAATCCCCTAATTTTTGGGGGAAATCCCCTAACCTGGCAACCCTGGCTGGTTGTTGCCGAGATCAGGGAAACTCCTATGCGTCAGACTGGGGTAGCATTAAAATCAATCACCTCCACTCCACCTCTGGCGTTGCAGTCGTATGGTGGGAGGTGAGTGGGAGTGTAATGTAATGACAGGTAAACATTGCGTCGGCACTTTTGATCTCAATGTTCCAGTGTATACACTGTGCAACTCGGATAATACAATATATGACAACCACCTATAATAAAACAGCAGTCTTCTGCGTATCCTAAATTTGTATCCCTGGAGTGGATGTTATTTTGGAACTTTCATCTGGTCCGAGTGAGCTAACTGATTCTTTAGCAATAAACTGTGACTTCAAAAATAATATTCACTGACACTGACAGCAGCAAGCAAAATATCAGGTGCGTTTTAATCATCCGGAATTGTCGGTTTAGTCGTTTTAACCTGTCAGATTAAAACAAGAAAACAGATAATTCCGAAGCAGAAGCGGATGATTAAAACGCACCTATTAAAAATATTGCGCCAAGATGTAGGCAGCACGTAATAAGGGTTCAAAATGGTGGTTAACTAAATCAATTAAGAAGAATGAAAATGAAAACAGCTGAATACAACCAAGTCACCAATATAAATCACAGATCACATATAAATAAACTTCACGCTTCTGTTTCAGCCTTGACACCCCCACACACATACTTTGATTTTCTTTTACTTTACGGAGAATGGTCGCACTGCGCAGCTTTCTGAGTGCCTTTTAAAAGGAGATAGAAAACTCCGCCATTTTGAACCCTTATTACGTGTTGCCTACATCTTGGCGCAATATTTTTAATAGGTGCGTTTTAATCATCCGCTTCTGCTTCGGAATTATCGGTTTTCATGTTTTAATCTGACAGGTTAAAACGACAATTCCGGAAGCAGAAGCGTATGATTACAACGCACCTGATATTTTGCTTGCTACTGTCAGTGTCAGTGAATATTATTTTTGAAGTCACAGTTTATTGCTAAAGAATCAGTTAGCTCACTCGGACCAGTTGAAAGTTCCAAAATAACATCCACTCCAGGGATACAAATTCAGGATACGCAGAAGACTGCTGTTTTATTATAGGCGGTTGTCATATATTGTATTATCCGAGTTGCACAGTGTATAAACTGAAACATTGAGATCAAAAGTGCCGACGCAGAGTGAGCGATCTGATTCTTTAGCTGTAAACTGTGTCACAGGGTTCAAAATGGCCGCGTTCTATGTTGGGCGTGTTGGACCTCTCTCTTGCCTCGTATAGTAATCAAAGTATGTGGTAAGGACCGATTCCACCGTTGTGTTAAACGAAGTTTAAAATGACATTTTTACATTAACAATGTCATTTTAATCTCCGTTTAACACAACGGTGGAATCGGCCCTTACCGATCAGGGGTGAGATTACAGAACGTCTGCAACTTTGCAGATCTGTAAATATGGCGAACTTACAGATGCAAGTATCAAGTTTTCGTATTCCAAAAATTATCTGCAAATTCGCAATAAACCACAATAAATTTTGCTATGCAGGACCGTACCTGTTTATAATTTTTAATTAATTTTTAATTATTTTTATTTTAAATATTTTGGAAAAATGAAATCTGCGAATCGGTCTCAAATTATGCGAACTACCACCCCTACAAATTTAGACGCCAAGTTCGGAAACACCCTGTATACTAGAAGAAGAAAATGAATTAAAATATGATTTTACTAACAAAAATCGAGAATCAGATACAGGGCCATACTTGGTCTTTTTGGAACATAAAGAAAGAAATCTAGGTCGTTTATTTCCCACTCGCGTTGGACATTTTTTAATGGAAAATCAATATTTTAAAAATAATGTTTAAGATATTAAACCATTTGGTTTAAATAGAGTAAAAATTATTTGTAAAACTTATGAAGTTGCAAACGAATTAATTAATCACGAAATTGTAACAAAAAATAATCTAGTCGCATATATACCAAATTATTACACACATAAAACAGGTATAATTAGAATGGTAGACACTATGTTTTCTGAGGAATATATTTTAAAAGCTATAGAGTCTGATATAAAAGTCACTGAAGTACGACGTATGAAATGAAGGATACACGACGACACAACAAAAACGTCTACACTTGTAGATACGCAAATGGTTGTTCTCACTTTCCTGGGGACTCAAATCCCTCAAATGTTAGTAAATATGGTAAATTTTGGTGTGGACCCGTATGTATATCCTGTATCTCAATGTTTTAAATGTTTACGTTACGGACATATTAGCCGACAATGTAAAGAAAAAAAAGGTGTCAAAAATGTGCAGGAGAAACATGTAATGATAAATGTGAAAATGATGAAAAATGTGTACATTGTGGAGATAGAAATCATGACGCAGATTCGCGTGATTATCCTATCTACAAACAACAATTAAATATTAAAAGGGTAATGTCTTTTGAAAATTTGTCCTTCAAAGAAGCTCAATTTTTGGTTGAAAATCCATCATATGCTAAAGTAACAACGCACAATAGATTCTCGTTATTAGGAAACGAGAATCAATTCCCTGAGTTGCCGCAACCGGTAAAATAACCCGAATTTTCTACTGAAAAAACCCGCGAGACCTACTAGTTTTAAGAACACTAATCAATCCTAGCCAAAAAAACGAAAAACAATTTCCCCCCAATTTCACCATCTCCATCACATGCAGGTACTTCAAAAAAGAAGACAAAAAAGCACAGTCAGTACTATCGAATCCCTACAGGAATATTCTGGTTTCTTGTGACATAGTCGGCACATGAGTTCCCCATTGTACATGCCAATTTTGTTCAAGTGTCCCTTTACTGGAGCGTGCCCAGTCATGAACCCTGTTATCACTTTCAACTGGTTCCTATTCACTAAGAGTAGTTCTCCAGTTCTTTTGGGACATGGTCTGCCTATGAAGGCTTCTCCATGTACCGGTTTTGGGGTGCTTCCCCGATAGTTGATATGTTGTTCCCGAATCCAGTCATTTATAAACCCCCGGACTGTACTTTTTGGTACTCCTGGGTTTGTGTCTGGTTCCGGTGTTTCTTCTGACCCTCTTTTTGCAAGTTCGTCAGCCTTTTCGTTGCCTTCGATCCCTTTGTGACCTGGCACCCAAAATAGTTTTACTCTATTTCGGTCTGCCAGTGTTCTTAGTTCTTCGATGTATTCCTATACCAGCCTCGTCGTAACTTTCTAACTCGATATGGCCTTAAGTGCCGCTTGGCTGTCTGACATTATTTGAATATGCTAATTTTCGACAGCTCTTTCATTGTTCGTTTTTGCACATTGCAAAATTGCGTATACCTCGGCCTGAAATACCGAGGAATGTATTTCTATAGCATAGCTATGGTTAGTATCAGGGTTTTTGGAGAATACTCCTGCCCCAATGCCTTCCGCAGTCTTAGACCCGTCTGTATACCAGATTTGTTCCTGTCGTTGGGCATTGGGCTCCCTTATGGTGATCTCCGCTCTTTCCTGTATTAAAACCTCAAAGGGAATATTAAAAGAGTACCTCTTGGTTAAGTGGTCTGATCTCATGTCTAGCACGTCTCCTGTCACTAACCTTGAGATACTCATGTGACCTGGATATCCATAGAATATCTTCTATATCCTGGATATTGACGGATATTTGGATGTCCATATTAGATCCACTGCATATCTATGATAGGAAGTCCCACAGACGTCCCATTAACGTCTTGGACTCGTACCGAAAACTGAACGTTTTGTCGAAACGGGACCAAAATAGGACGTCCAGAGGACGACCTTCAAAGGACGTTCTAGTGTTCACGCTATTCGGATGTCCAGTGGACGTCCGATTTAGGTCCCGGACCAACAAGAGGCCAAATCAAGACGTGTATGGGACGTCCTGTGCTATCTGGATATATCTGCTGGTTCAGCATTCTCTGAGCGAATTTTTTCTGTGATGACTATTAAATGGCGCAACGAAATAAATCGGAGCTCAACAGAACTAATTTGCTTAGAGCTGTTAATATATTTTTTCTGCACCCACGCGGATATTAGCTATTCTACGCACAGACTACAAACCGAAAAAGTATGCCATTGCATTCAACTGAACATATGAAATACTCCAGTCACAGTTCATATTTTGGTCACTCAATTTTTTTTTTTTTAATTTGAAATAAGTGACAATTCTGTCAAACTATTTGTCAATATATTTTTTAGTTATTGAGAATAAATATACATTAAAATAAGTTATTCTTGAGAAATTGAAAACAAAATTTAAGGACATTAAAAAAATGGGAAGTTGTTTTAAACAGCTTTAAAAATACTCCAAATGTTTTTTCGGCAATTTCATTTTTATTAAGAGTGACATTTCAGAAATAGAAAAATCGCCATTTTGTAAATACAAATGTCAAAACTATCGTAACCATAGCGAACGAAGTAATATAGCTAGTCTGATAAAACTGTATATATATATATATATATATATATATATATATATATATATATAATAATATATATATATATATATATATATATATATATATATATATATATATATATATATATATATATATATATATATATATATATTAGTTATTTACGATATAAGTATCGTAAAGTCATATTACGAGACGCGATGGAAATAATCCATCGAGTATCGTAATATGAATTT